CATTTCCTTCAAAGCAGCCTGAACTTCTTCTTTCATCACCATAGGCTCTTGCTCATATGTTGTTTCATGAAATTCTTCTGTGTCTTTCAATTCCTTTCGATACAGTGACTCAGAGACATTGATCCCAACATATGGAACTACCATCAGCTGATGTGTTTGGAATCAAAGAAGCCATGGATGCTTCATATATAAGTTATTAGATGGAGGGCTGGTCAAAGGGAGATAGATGTGAAGGAGGGGGTAGAAGTGGATGGGTATCCTGGTGGATGGTGGAGCAGGGAAATAAGTGCGTAAAGACGTGTGTGAGGGTGCAGCAATGAAGGAATGAAAACCCAAAATCCCTGTAAATGTTCATTAAAACTAATACAATTTAAAAAAAAAAACATGAATGCAAGATATACACATGGATTTCACCTGATGATATGCATAGGAGTAAGATCAATTACATCTGTGGAAAGAGTCGTTGGAGAAACTCTATATCAGCTCTGAAAACTAGGCCGGGTACTGTTTGTGGAACAGACCCTCAACTACTCATATACAAATTCAAGCTGAAGCTAAGGAAAATGAAATCAAATCCACAGGAGCCAAAATTTGACCTTGAGTCTATCCTACCTGAATTTCAAAACCATCACAGGTATAGGTTTGAGGCCTTGAACATGAATGAGTGAAGACCATATGAGTTATGGGACAATATCAAGAATATTATGTAGAAAGAATGCAAAAGGTCATTATAAAGACAGGAGGAAGAAAAGATAAAGATGGATGTCAGAAGAGACTGTGAGTATTGCACTAGAGCCCCAAGAAGCCAAAACAAAGGGAAGAAATCGCTATATTAAGGAGCTGAACAGAAGATTTCAAAGGGCAGTGTGGGAAAACAAAGTAAAGTATAATGAAATGTGCAAAGAGCTGGAGTCAGAAAATCAAAGGGGCTGAATTCACTCAGTGTATCTTAAGCTAAAGGAACTTAAGAACAAATGCAAGCCTCGAGTTGCTATACTTAAGGATGCTTTGGGCAGAAATTAAATGATCCAGGAAAAAATTAAAAGAAGATGAAAAGAGTATATGGAGTCATTGTACCAAGAGGAATTGGTGGACACAGAAGAATTTCATGAAACAATGTAGGAGCAAGAGCTTGTGGTGATGAAGTAAGAATTCTGTTCAAGCGGCTCTGAAAGAATTGGCAAAATACAAGATCCCAGGAATTGTCGGCACACAGATTGACATATTTCAACAAGGAGATGCTGCCCTGGTTGTGCTCACCAAGTTGTGCCAAGAAATCTGGAGGACAACCATTTCGCCAACTGAGTAGAAGAGATCTATATGTGTTTCCATTGCAAAGAAAGATGACCCGACAGAGTGTGAAAATTATTGAACAAAATCACTAGTATGACATGCAAGCAAGATTCTGCTGAAAATTATTCAAAAACGACAGGAAGAGCACATCAACAGAGAACTACCAGATGTACAGGCTAGGTTTAGAAGAGGCTGTGATACTAGGGAAATCACAGCTGATGTTAGATGGATCTTGCCTGAAAGCAAAGTACCAGAGGAATGTCTATCTGTGTTTCATTGGCTATGTAAAGACATTTGACTGTGTGGATCACAACAAACTGTGGCTGACTCTGAGAAGAATGGGAATTCCAGAATACTTGATCATGTTTATGTGACACCTATACTCAGGCCAGGAGGCAGTCATCAGAACAGAACAAGGAAACACTGCATGGTTCAAAATCAGGAAGGGTATACGCCAGGGATGTGTCCTATGTCCATACTTTTTCCAATCTATATGCAGAACAGATTAT